GTCCAGTGCACATTGCTCAACGATTCAAACATCATCCAACGTTTATGAAAACAATATTGTATCGAGGGCGGTTGATGCCACTCGACGTCATTCCGCATCTCGCCGTGCCATGTCGCGTGCGCAACCCATCATTACCGAACTGACAGGTTCATAGAGATGAGTTCACAAGTGCACACCGCGCGCAACTCAGTGGAAAAGGTGCTTTTGAATTATTTCAATATTTATTTAGAGTTTGATTGAAATGTCGCGACAGGACGAAACTATACAGGTTGTTCATGAAGTCGTGTTTGAGTTCACCCTAAGAGGTGGAAAGTAATTTGTGTGCCTTTATTTAAAATAAAAAGAAAATAAACGTGTGTCACATTTGCTTTTATGCCGACAAGGCGTTACGCCAAAACCACTTAACTCGTAATAAACAATTTCACCGCAGTAATAGCTTTCCGATTACCGACGCGAATCACGCTTTCTTACCCCCATATTTGTACAAAACACACCAAACAAGACCTCTCATTCGTACGACAAACGTAATTCACAAGGGTCCTAATAAAATGGTAGTTAGTAATGACCTCTGTCACCATCAAAACAGGAGATTATAGGATTTAGAAAAAGATAGATATATAGAGTTCTGGCGAGTGTGAGAAGGAATGAATTATAATAAATAGAGGGTGGATTTGCGGATTATTGTGACGAATGTCGGTTGCAGGTCGCGGGTTCGATAATGGCTCGGTAATGATGTCTTGAGTTGACAGATGTCGCGATGTGGAGTGACTGCAATTATGTACTCAATTAAATTTTTTTGGTTGCTAAAGATGCTTGAGACATGGAACGAAGTGGATAGGTTGGCTTTTATTAAAATTACTTGAAAAGCTGAAACGAAAACTTGGAAACTCATTTTATATTAAAAAGAACGATCGTATTTCAATAAAGAACCAAATGAAGTATTTCTTTATTTTCTGTAATACGAACAGAAATTCATTACTTGGAAAAGTGAAGAAAATTTTACTGCAATTTTTAATAGTAATTTGGATTCATTTATTATTTACGCGTACTATTTAATACTAAATACCGTATCAAATCACAACCAGAATATTGTCACGAAAGATCGTTCAGTCTACAACAATTGTAGTATAGTGTTTTATAGACAATCCAAGAAAAATGTTTAACGTGCTTTAATTAAAACTGGCCCCAGTACCGTGCCTTGGGCGACCCTTTACATGGCTCTATAAACAAAAGAGTCGCGCATGTTCCAACACAAAGCTCGTCACAGGGTTGATTGCAGACAATCATAAGTACTGTAGGTACACTGCGGAGCATAGGGTTAAGTTAACCCGCACAATATGCTGGTAATTGGGTACTTGCGACCCACGGTTACGCCACGAGGCGCTTCAACGCGGTTTTTATTGTTTTGATCGTGCTGCTTTGTTGATTTCAATTTATTATAATCGTATTTATCTCGGGAGATATTTCTGTAAAGTCTGCAGACTGTATTATGCAAACTCTGAGTATCTTTATTTAGTAGGCAAATTAAACGTGATATCGTAATTTTATTGTTTTTTTTTGTTGGTCCTCGTTTAGATAAAAACTTTTCTTCTTAATACTTTCCTGAGTGCGCAGTAACGCCAGTGTAAGAATATTAATTTCTTTAAAGTTTTCTTTCAGAGGCACTCAGGGGCCCGGATTGTAAATTTGTTAGGCGAATTTGGCACGTTTTAGCACGCAAAGATTTTATCAATATCGGTGGCATTCTACTATTAAAAGGCACGTCTGTGATATGACGGGCATGTTTGTCTTAATGGGGCTAGGGTTGCTAAACTTTCTTGTAAAAGAAAGCGTTTTTGTTTGTGTAAAACGACAGCATCTAAGTAGAATATGAACAAAGTCTGATCAATTGAACATATTTGTCCAAAAGTGATCACAAAAGCGAAATTGAAGCACGTGATTACGCAGTACACTTGAACAGTAGGCACTCTATAATTTATAATCAATGTATTTTTTTTGATGCCCACATATTCGTATTACTTATTTATAAAACTAAACAAATATTGCTCAAATGTCTCACCCCATCGGTTGAGTTGACTCCGCTTCCGGCTCTCGAGTAACGGTCTTCGGTTTGAATCAAGCGCACAATATGAGCTATGATTTGTTTGAAAACAATAGTGCAAGGTTTATTGTGCGAACGCGAGCGTATTGTTGGTTTGGAGCGTATTGCGTACTGTACACGGGGAGGCGCTGCACCTGGACTCTTTAGTTTCGCGAAATTATTTTTACCTTATTGCGTTTAAACAATAGAGTTAACATGTAAGTGAAATAATAAAGCAAAATATTATAACATTTTTTGCAACATTGCTTTTTTAACAGAACCGTTGATTGTCTTCTGGATTTACTAGTTGCTCTCGACAACACTCTTATTTGTCACTCGAAAGAGCAAGTGACATACGTGTATAAACCACGTAAAGTCTCCAACCTTTTGTCAAAAGGAGGTGGCGGATGGAACGGTGCAGTAGTGGAACGTAAGAGTTGACACCGCAGAATTTAGAGATTGTTAGAACAGACATTGGATACTTCACAGTAAAAAGTGAAGTAGCCCTATAAGCTAATCCGCAAGATGAAAAGCGAAGATCGATGGCGATATGATACGCGAGCGACAATGAGATGGTATCGGCTATCTGTCCAATATCATAAACGAGCGGGGCCGGAGGGCTCGAGTAGTCTCGAGCAGCGATATCGCGGTGATTAGGCAGGCGTGCGATTTGTATCGGGAGAAGGGGTGATTTAGTGATTACACTTTGGCTGTTCTGTCGTAAGATGCTGTCAGCAAAAAGAGTCTGTAAGAACCCTAAGGGTGTCTTTGTAGACCGATGGCGACGTCATTTAATGGTTTCTAATTATTTGCAACAATACAGGAACGTAAGAAATGGAACTATTTTATTCGAATCAAAATCGCGTGTTTGTGTTTCAAACAAAGTAGCGCTTTGTGTCCTTTCCAGGTCCCATGACTTGACTGTCAGCCGTGGCAGCCTTTTTCCAAAATTCAATCTCAAAGTTCAACTCATGTATATAGATAGACTCCAGAGCCTGGACACCCACTTTTGCCGTCATATTATTATTATTATTCTCGACGTCCATCGCACCCAAAATGTCTGGATCCAAGCTACCCTCCCCATCAGTCATGGTGGTCTAGGCATCGGGAGTGTATCAGCCATAGCCCTTCCGGCCTTTTTGTCCTCTATCTACAGTACGGTCAACCTCATACGCAGTATCCTAAGGCTTCCGCCTACAAACTGCGGGGTGACGTGTTTAATTGAGTCCAGAAACGCCTAGAACCAGGCTTGCCCCAACGAAATTTCTCCTTCCGACCCCAAAATTCAAGGAAGCAGGGATAATATTCTGTGCAAAAAGACTTTAAATGACTTAATGAATCATTGCACCCCAATAGACCGAGCGCGTCTGAAAGTGGCGTCCAGGTGGGAATCTGGCCACTGGCTACACGCTTTCCCCTCTTCAATTACTGGTACCTTCCAGAGCGCCGAGACCATTCGCATAGCTGCAGGCCTCCGCCTTGGTGTGCCAGTTTGCTCCCCTCATCGGTGTCCTTGTGGCAAAGACATAAGTGCTTTGGGTCAGCACCGCCTTTCCTGCCAGCTGAGCGCCGGCCTTATCTCCCGGCATGCAGCCCTCAACGGCATCATCCGCTTAGCCACTATTAACGTGCCCGTTATACTCGAGCCAAGCGGCATGTCGCGAACAGATGGCAAACGCCCGGACGGAATGACTCTCATCCCTTGGAGTATGGGCCAGACAATGATGTGAGACGCCACACTTGCCCCATCCCATCTCCAGCATAACAGCAAGAGAGCTGGCTCCGCAGCTGAGCTGGCGGCAAGAATAAAAAGTAATAAGGATCAGGATCTCGGCTCCGACGACCTATTTACAGCTTTTCGAGTCGAAACCCTTGGCCCGTGGGGTCCCTGTACCCATCATCTGTACGAAATTTTATTGACAAAATTAATAGACTGTCTGGGGAACTCAAGGGCCGGCAGCTACCTTGCCCAGCGCATTAGCATAGCAATACAAAGCGGGAACCCTGCCAGCACCTGGCCGCGGGGTACCCAATTGTATTTATATAATTTAAAAATCCTAGTTTTAGTTTCTAGTAGTTAATCTTTTATTGTATTTTTCACCTTACCTGTACATTACGTTCTAAATTGTTTATTGATGAGAAGATCGCGTACCGATGTTTCTTAATGAGAGGTATCGAACTAGGGACCCCGCAAGCGCAGGGAGATGCAAGGGCGATTGGATGGAGCTAAGCCGATTGAAATCTGCCGATCTGAGCATGGGAGTAATGAATGACTTATGTCTTCATTAAGTAATGTGAACGTATTGAATTGATTTGATTAACTTATGCAAAACTTACGTTGTATTTGTACAATAACTAAGACACGTGAGCGACAAACGCACACAAATTCTAGTAAACGTAATTTGAAGACAAGTTCTTTTTTAATATGAATTTGTAATCCGCAAGGGACATTTCGTACCACTCACAATCAATTTGGTTAAAACAACGCGCTTTGTGACGACGCGGTCACGCCCTGCGCAATGCGCATCTCTCATATTCAGGGTTGTATGATGTGCGCGGTACACTGCGGCGTCGTCACAAAGACACGGTGGGTGGGGAGCCACAAAGACTTCAATTTGGCTGAAACAAGGAGGCGTTAACGGAAAACAATTGCTGCGATGATTTGTCGCTGTAAAAGCGTAGGTGGGTGTAAAGGGAGAAATGAATGCGATGTTTTGTCAATAAAAATTTGAGAACAAGCACTGCTTTTAAAATAATGTAAAAAAATAGATTGGGAGTCGTACGATTTAAAAAAAAGTAGAATTTTTATAATCTGCCGCTGGTACAGTACTGTAAGACTATATAACATTAATAATGTTAGTACCTATCGAAAATAATAATAACAGTACGTTCTTTTAGAACAAAGTTGCTTTCTTTGCAGAACTTTCAAAATGCAGCCGTTCCAGTCAACCGCGAGGCCGGAAGGGCCCCGGGAGTCGTCCCCCGAGCGAGGCAAGTCCCCCGACACTCCGACATCGCCGCCGGTGCTCAACTTCTCCATAGCGCGGTTGATGGAACCCGACAGAAAGAAATCTGTCTCACCAGAACCACCGACCAATCCCGGATTTCTTTCGTACGGACAACAACTTCTCGACTCCGCATTTAAGCAGTACATTCCTGCAGCGAGAAGGCAACTAGTGTCGCATTATCCACTCCTGTACTATGGGCCCGATCTAGTCTCCCTGACGTACGCCCACCAGCTGCACTTACCGCGCCCCCCGCCGGCGCCGTCACCCGTGCAACGACCGCCAAGTCCGCGCGCCCCGGCGGTCGAAGTGTCGTCCACGACAGGGCCGAGTTCTTCACCTGCGAAAAATAAGAGTTTCGCGTGCGGAGATTGTGGCAAAGTATTCAACGCTCATTACAACCTGACGAGACACATGCCCGTTCACACAGGAGCCAGGCCGTTTGTTTGCAAAATATGTGGAAAAGGATTCCGCCAGGCGTCGACTCTTTGTCGTCACAAAATTATACACACGTCTGAGAAACCTCACAAATGTCTCACTTGCGGAAAGGCATTCAACCGATCGTCTACATTAAACACTCACGCTAGAATCCACGCCGGTTACAAGCCGTTCGTTTGCGAGTTCTGCGGCAAAGGCTTCCACCAGAAAGGGAACTACAAGAACCACCGATTGACTCACAGCGGGGAAAAAGCGTACAAATGCACGATTTGCAACAAGGCGTTTCATCAGGTGTACAACTTGACTTTCCACATGCACACTCACAATGAGAGGAAGCCATTCACATGCAGCATTTGCGCTAAAGGGTTCTGCAGGAATTTCGATTTGAAGAAACACACTAGGAAATTGCATTTAGGCGTGGGGTCGAATGACTCCTCGATTGATACTCAGGATGATTCTACTCAAGAGGCGATCGGTACATCCAATAATGAGGAACCAAGCAGAGTCGCTTTTCGACCGTTTTTGGGTTCTTCGTACCCTCGCATCTTGGACCCAACGCGCATGACCGCGCCTGAAACTTTCTTCTCCAAGCTATTGTGACCAACGAGCGGATACTTCAATAACTTTGAAGGAAACAAGTGATTTGCTTCAGGATTTGATGTAGATAGTCACGGACAATTGTAGAGGGCTTGGCGATAGCACAACCGTACTCCATAGTTGAATGTTATTGATAATATCAATATATGTATTATTATGTTAAACTAGACAGTGGTTATGCAAGTATTAACAATAATTTACAATAACCTACATGAAAAGTGAATATAGAATGTAAATAGCGAAATATGAGTTACGAAAATCACTTTAATCGGCACTCCTTAGAAATAAGTGCCAGTTGTACGTATGTATAATAAAATGTTCAAATTAAACAAATTGTACGTATATATAGTTGTAAATATAAGTAGATACATTAGAATACATTAGCATTATGAAACGCAATATTCAGTGTGATTAAATGACATTTATCCAATTGAATCTAATTGATATTGTCCACTCTAAGTGCAGTCATCTCGAATCGTCGTGTAAACGTAGAAATTACAAAATAATGAAGAATTTTTCTCCCATCAGTACGACGTAATCTAAACAATTTGAGAAAGACAGGAAAGTGTAGACACCCAAGTGTAGGCACAACCATTAAATCAATTAAATATAAGTACAAAAAGTATTTATGTCGGCGACGTGTTAATTTTATTTTTAACATAAAAATATATTTTATACAAGCCCTCAATCAACTATAAAATATATTACGCCAGCAAATGTGATTACACTACCGTGCACTACATCTATGTACGGAAATATTAAATTTTAGTAGCAGTAGAGCTCCTTCTGAAAGAGTTCGTACAGGGAAGTACTGCAACTTTACCCGCTTCTACAGCCAAGCAGTAATGTCAGCATTTCCGGTTTTGAAGGCTGAGGGTGCTGGTGAAATTATAGACACATGGGACTTATCAACTTATGTCTCAGGATGACAGGCGCAGTGGCAGTGACCCTAAGATCCTTACGATTCAAAGCTCTGAGTGCTCACTTAACACCGGGTGCACGACTTGTTCGTTCCGTCACCTGATATTATAAAAAAAACAATTACACCACTATTAATTTGAGGACCTTCCCGTCGCCTCAGCACGCAGCCGTGTTGGCCGGTTGGCCGTTTTGAATCAATCAATAAACTGTACGCTGCACTCAATAATTTGGTCGCAGTTAATGCGAGCTATTATCGCTCACATTGCTCACATTCTGTTCACGCTGCGCAGTGTGCATTTGTGCCAACTGAACAATCCAAATTATAGAGTATACACGCCAAGCTAAAGTCATTGGGGCGCGGTGCTCAAACTTATATTCTGGGAAAAAGGGATAAATATTATTATGTCATTTATGTTTTGTATAGTGTTATATTTGTGAAAAAATAAGTAAAGCCTTGATTGAAAACAAAAAAAAAATTGGCAAGAAAATGTTAATTATATGAAAGGTGAAGCTTCCGGTACGTACCTTTAGGCTGGCTTTCGCTATTGAGTAAGTTTAGCTAAATAAGGTACGACAGTCGAGGGCGTGCGCCCCAAATCAATTTTCTATCTTTATCTAGAAAAGCCAAATGTAGAATTTTTTAAACTATTTTTTCTATATTAAATAAACTAAGTGTTTTATTAATTGCTACATAAATGTCATTATTATCGTAGGTATATAGTGGTGTACTTTTTAAGAAGAATATGTTTATATTTCACTTGAAATTCTAATTATTTAAGTAAGTACATAGAGCGAATTAACTTTGAGCACCACTGCTGATTAACGGCCGCCCCGCGGTAATCGGAGCCGCGATCTGGTAATGACTGCTTGTAGAACAACGGGGGCAATCTCGCACTGCGCTTTTGTCACAGCTAGCGCAGCGGCACACAATGCAATGCGCGGGCGCACCGCACGGGGCGCATGCGCAGCGGCGGCAGGAAGTGGGCCCGCCGGCTGCGAGTGCCATGCTGTACAAACTATACAAGTCAATTAAATTGACTATGGTAAGTATTGGCACGTTGAAAAATAAAATGTGTTTTTAAGAATTTGTCGCTAAAAACGGGTTCGTCTTAGAATTATAACGGGTTCCTCTCATCTAAATTCGACAGGAAAGTGTAACGATTTCTTACTTCAATAATATCACGTGTGTACGGTACATATAACACCCTTAATAATAAAGTGACGACTTTCGAAAACTAATTTTTCTTTAAACTTATAAAATAGGTTTAACAAAACCACACTTGTGGCACCAGCTATATACACAATTATTACCAGAAGATTATGTTTGAAATGAAAACGACATATTACTTTTATTTCGTAAGTTTATTTTTTAATTATGACTAAAAGCGAGTAATTTTTTTTTATGACCAAGTGACGGGATGAACGAGTCGTGAGCCCTCTGCGCGCCTGGTATTAAGCGACACGCCTATCCGTAACAGTTGCTTTACTACTCAGAGATTTTAATCGCTAAGGTCTTAAGGGCACTGCCACTGCGCCCGTCACCCTGAGACATATGTTGACAAGGTCTATTTGCTTGTAATTTCGCCAGCGCCCTTACTCTTCCAAACCGGACATTACTGCTCGGCGGCAGTTATGGGTAAGGTGGCAGTACTTCCCTAGACGAACTCTTTCACAATTAGCTGTACTGCTACTAAATAGGGCTCCCAGAAGCTGGTAACGCTCCACTCCGCGTGTTGCAGATGTCCAAGGGCGAAAAAAGTTAATTTTGAATTTCGTCACTTTATTATTGAGTGTGTGTCGAGTGAGTTCACTTTTCTTTTGGGTAATTAAAAAATCGAGAACATAGGTTTACTCATAGTGGTGTCACAATAGTATAAATCATGTTCCGCGCGTTTTTTTTTTCTTTATAACTCACACACTTATAGCTCCACTTTCAAGGGAAATCCTGTATTGCAATGGGTGCCATGAACACACACATAGACAACCACATTTTACACCCAAAGTGCCCAAACTTACATAAAAATAGTTCTCCCGGCCCGGGAATCGAAACCGGGACTTCTACGTGGCAGACCTGAGTTCTTTGTAAAACACTTACAGGCAATGAAGACGGGCCATCTACATACTTTGCAATTGAAATTATTATCGAGTAATTTTAAAGTTAAGAATTTGAAATTTATAGAATTTTGTATACAATTGAATAAAGTATCGTTTAAAAACAAGATATTGTGGACCTGAAAAAATGCGCACTAGCTCTCAAAATGTTGCTTTCCATATAAATAAATGGATAGCAAAATTTCAAAACGCATTTTTAGGAAACGCAAATGAACTTGATCTAAATAGGTACTTATGTCAATTGTCTTTCAAAAAAAATAAACAGGCTGACCCGAATTCCTATTCTCTCAAGTATTCGAAATAAAACCCATCAACGGCACTTTGTCATGAAGAAGATGATTTGCTTCGCATCGAAGCGCAGAGTCCTCATCTCATGTCACCTCGTTAAGGAGCGACAAGCCGACTTGTTGCCTGTCGGCGGCACCTGTCGGCTGTCAATGCGTCGCGTCGCGTCGCTTCGATGAGAGGAAGCTTCTGGCCAATTTACGGACAAGCGTTAAGTAAGTGTTAAGAAAAATGGCGATATTACGAATTATTTGTCGGAATACTACTATGAAATTAGGGATTGCTAGCACAGCTCATAGTAGTTTTAAAATTGCTGTAAAAAGAAGAATAAATTACATTATTTGAAAACGCTGGAGACAATACACATTAATTATAAAACACAAGTCAAATGTAATTTTGACCTCACTGATAATCAGATATCAGAACCCGTAAAGATTAAGTACCATAATAATAATAAAAAAATAATTATAATAATAATAGTAACAGTAACAGTAACAGTAATAATAATAATAATTCCAGTCAGCCTTTCTAACAGCTTGAGGCGGTTGGATTTCTGTGGCGTGTCGCTTCCAGCACAAATACAGAAGGCGGTCCTCGATACGGCACGTATTGTTCGCCCATTCTTAGACCTGAGTCCCTGACTCCGGCCGACTGTGCCATTGCCGGGAAATACCGCCTCTCCCATTTAAAAATTCAAAATTAGTCTTTTAGGCCTTGGGAGAGGCGAGAGTTTAAAATAAACATAATAATAATAATAAATTATTGAGTGTATCCACAAACGGTGCTTGTAAAAATAAAAATATAGATGCTTTACATAACATCAAAATATAATCTGGTTGTGGAGGCTGGTCCTTGAAGTAGGAGAACCTGTGTCCAGGTCTCCACTCCCGGACATAAATGCTATGATTAATAAATATAAAATTAATAAAAACAAAAGTGAAATTCTAGATAATATAAATTTTTGCTCTAAGCAGGTTAAACTAAGAGAGAACAAAATGGCGTGCGTGCGTGCGAGAACAAAATGGTGTGCGTGCGTGCGTGCGTGCGTGCGTGCGAGCGAGTGACTATGTTGTGTTAGTGTGTGTGAAAGTTTGCATTAGTTACTTTATTAGACTTTCAGTTTCATCATAATTAAAATGTATAAGCCAATTTATTATCTGTATCTTGCATTGGTATTTCGTTAGTGGATATATTTTTAAAGGGCCCATGAAGTGAGCGAAACGATTTCCAAAAGAGGTTTTAATGGGACCGCGTCTAACGACTATATCTTTCCTTAGTTTCGTTTTATAGTATGGGTCGTAGGTCATGTGAGAATGCAGCCGAAGGAGATTATGTAAGATGTAAATTTACCGGACAGTGAGAACTTCACAAGATTTATACAATTCCGATGTGGGGAGAAAATTAGGAGATTCTGTTTTGATGCACCTCCCCAGACATTGATTCTATACGATGTTATGGATTCGCATTGAGCCTTATAAACAAGTTTTAGAATTTTTAGAATTTGCAATATAACGTAGTTTAAAAAAAAATAAAATTAGTTTTCTCACTCTTGCAGCGAGTTTGGTTATGTGCGAGTTAAAGCTTAGACGTTTATCGATGATTATACCAAGATATTTAATCTCTGGTACTTCTTCCAAGATGGAGCAACTCTGAGAGTAGGGATCGAGACAGGTGGACGATTTATGTTGCGCTCACTAAATGCTATGTATCTGGTCTTGTTAGTATTAAGGCTGAGAGAGTTATAATTAAGTCAGCCCATAACCTTGTGAAGGCCTAGTTGAGCATATTTGAAAGTC